ATAGTGTATATATATATATATATACATGCTTCTTTTTCTTACAGTGGAAAAATAGTTTTTAAAATAATTAGGATATTTGATGAGATTCTAAAGGTTTCGACAGAAGCTGGAGTCAGTGTTTCAAGAGCTGCTACCCATTAATGTATCTTGTTGATAGATTACAACCTGACCCAGGTATTAAGCTCATATTAAACTAGTAACTCTTTCAGAAGTGTCCTACATGGACTAAATTAAATGTGATTTGGATTGTTGATCACTGATTTAAAATCAATATTCCACATGAGAGTACATTTTGCATTTTATTTGGTAGTCAAGCTTCCAGAATAAGGAGATACAGGTTGGAGGCAACTAAAGTACATAGTGAAGTTTCCACAGTCAGTTAAGATTTGCTTATCAGCTGATTTCGGTTTACCGTGTTTCAATAGTTTCAAAAACAGTCCAGCCATTTAGCAGGGCAATTTAGAGCATATTTATGGTAGATACTTGAGTCCGCAGATAACATTTATGGAGATACTGTTTTCATTTCCCAGCAGGACTTGGCACTTCTCTGCTTGTCCAAAAAAAAAAACACCTCCCTGCTTTAATCCACTGTTCTGGACAGAGCATAAAAAGTCCCTGCCCTAAATCAGATAAAGAGTTTATGGTAGTCAAGGTGAATTGTGTACAATATTTATACAGGACACTAAAAAAAATCCTCATTCTTGAATCTTTCCGTATCTCTTTGTTAAATCAGGAAAGGTCATAAAATATGTTAGATATTTAATCCAAGATGGGGAACTTTGACTGGGGTCAAATTGATCCCAAGGATAAAAGAAGGGTTAGCTGATGGTGGTCTTCTGCTGGAATGACCGATCTACTTTAAGGTTCAACATCCAATGCATTCTGAGATACTTTTGCACATTGCACACTGTGACTTTATTGTGCCTAGATCAGGGATTCCCAAGCAAGGGTACTAGTGCCCCCAGTGGTCCACCAATGCATTGCAAGGGGTACATAAAACATTTAATATTTTACCTCCCAGATAAAGAAATGCAATAAATTGGGCTGCTCTGCAACAACCCAACTGCAAAATAAACCTATATTTTAATCAACCAAATAGATAAAAAAGAAAACTTTCTAATCAACATTTACATGATAACTTAAGTGGATATCTGTGCTGTGCACCCGCACCACTTCTCTGCAAGTGAGAGCAGGAAGACAGCACATTTTTTATTCTAATTGAAAACAATTAAGTGTCTGAGCATTAAATATTCAAGTTAAAGAAATTAAATATTCTTAATTAAATATTATTTAGAAAATAATCTACACGTTTGGCCCAAGGGGTACTCCTGATATGATAAAATTGCCAAGGGGGTACACAAGACAAAAACCTTCCTAACACTGCCCGTTTACTAATTGTCACTCATCTTATCCACCTGCTCCGTCTGCTTTATATACAGCTCAGCTATCGTGGCCAGATCATTATTTTTTAGTTTGAGTCGGTGATCATTGCGGTTTTCCATAGTACGTGTTCTCGTTCTACAAGGCCAGTGGCGAGGGAGGGTTTTTAGAGTTGTCTTGTTTCCTGATCATGTCCTGGCTCTTATCCACTGAATGTGCACTGTTCCTGTTTTGGCTCAGTGGAGGGAGGTAGTTTTAATTTCTTTAGTTTTCCTGATATCATGTCTTGTTCTGCCTCTGAACTACTGAGCCTACCTGTTTCCATCGAAATGTTTCTGCCTGAACTCGCTGTTGGACTCATGAAACCCTGAACCTGTGAGTGGCCATCTTATCCAGAGTGATCCGACAGTTCTTCAGAAAGTCTGTCATGCTTCCTGCAATGTTTGACTCTGCTGGGTCCATCTTGGCTGGTTCCTTCTGTCAACAATGGGTGGTGAGGTTGCTTGAGGACCCAGATGCAGATACGAGTGAAGCAGAGATGAGTTCTGACAGATTTAATTGAAGAACACAGGTAACAGAGGCAGCAATCCAGAAATCCAAGTAAAAATGTTAAGTAAACCAAAAACCATGGAGACATCAGGGGAAAACGAGCATGAGAGGCCACGGAGAGACGAGCTGAGAAGACAACTTCAACAACGACAAGGAACCAGCACTGAGTAACTGCAGAGGTGGAGTATTTAAGGAGAACAGAACAATGGATGGACTAGTGAGCTGAATACGGAGCAGGTGTGGGTAGAACTGGCAAGAAGGAATCCAAGGGGAAAAAAAACAAGCACAAGGGGGCAACAGAGAGTAACTAAAGAATGCTAGAATATGATGGAAAATAAATCAACAAACAAAACAACTGATAACAGAAAACAAAAAAACTCAGAGTCACAACAAATGGGAAGAACCATAACATTTGCTGGATAAAGCGTTCTAATAAGAAAACAAAAGAGAAAGCATTTTGTTTACTCCCTCCCTCTCTCTGCAGTCCTTGGAGTGGCTTTTACTCTCTATATCAGCGGTTGTTCTACAATAGAAATTCTTTCTGCACTGTGAAGAAAATCGGTGCAGTCTTCAAAGATTCAGTATGAAACAAGGTAAGACTTTCATGCCGACCTTCCAGTAAAGATGGGAATGACCATCTTCTATGTACAGATGTCATATATTTGAATGTCCCACAGACATTAAGTACTATGGGTTGAGGAACCAAGGAGCAACATGCTACCTGAACAGTATTCTGCAGGTTCTGTTTATGACCAAGGAGTTCAGAGAGGCTGTAGAAAGGTTGGTGAATCAATCAAACACCATTTTTTATGTTATAACGTCTGTTGTATTTCAAGGTAGCCACTGTATCTCTGACAACTTTCTATTAACAGATGTCCTATAGACCATAAAGATCGCATTGATGTTCAACTGCATAGTTTGTTTGAAAGTTTAAAGGAAAGAACATCAGAAACCAGAGACGTAACAAGAAAGCTGGGGATAGAAAGAGGTAAATTATAAAATGCATTAAAGAATGATGAGCTTGTTTCTGGATTAGGGAGATGAATTAGAACTGGGATATTAAAATGTATAAGCAGGAACACAAAGCCTGAAAAGCTTTAGAGAAAATAAAATGAACAGTACGATTCATTATAATTATTATAAAGATGCTGTGTTTCATGGATAATTGTTCCTCTATTCTCCAAGTGAATGAACAGTATGATGCTGGTCAGTACTTTGAGAAGATTTTATCTATGGTCAGTGATGAAGCATCAAAGGTAAATGACTCATTAAATCACTGTGAGATCAGGATGGAGACTGAATTAGAGAATCTGCATTAAGTATAGATGCTTGTTTTCTATCAAAATGTGCTTTCAGGTATTTAAAGGACACCTGACCCACAGGACTGTTTGTGGTGGATGTTCTGCACATACTGAAGAAGATGTGCCATTTTGGTTTCTTTCTCTTCCACTGATGGATTCTAGTGATCAAAACTACAGTGTGGTGAGAAACAACCTGCAAACTCGAAACCATTTTATTCCAGAACAAACTCCAGTCATAAGTGTGACCTGGACTAGTCAATGATTTATGATAATATATTTGTTATAGCCAGAGTTGGCAGAATGTTTTATCTGATAGCTCCTGGTAAAAAACAACCTTTTCAAAGTCAGTGTAAGTAATACAAGTGCTTTTTCAGGAGGACGCCATTAACGAGTTTTTAAAGGATGCAAAATTTGATGGAGAGGACCAGCTGTACTGTGATAAGTGTGGAGATAAACACGACACCACTGATGTAAGTAAATGGAAACTAGCTTTGTATAAGTGCCTTTTTACAAGGAGTCAAATATTTGAATAGAAATTGAATACTTAATAAAATGGGCATTAATTGAAGAAAGAGATTTTGACAACTTTATAAAAAATATTCAGACCCCATTGACCTGTACATATGAAACCATATAAATACATAAACCATATACAAAGATACAAACATCATTCCCTGTATTTAGGTCAGCTATGATTTCCACAGTAATTTATTTTTGTTAAACACCAAACATAATCACAGATTTTTTTTGAGATTAAGAAATGTATTACAATATCCAGTATAACACCATTTCCTTGTTGCTTACAAAGTTTCTGAGCGACAATGATCAAGGCTCTTATTTGTCAAGATTGCACACACACAAAAAACCGGTCCTAAAATTTTGTACTTAAGAAACCTGGCAGAGAGGCACATTTTGGGGGAAAAAAACGACAATACAGGTGTAAGTATGAAGGATAAAAAGTGCCAAAATTAAATAAATAAATACAGCCTTAAATAAATAATTAAATGTGTCAATAATTCATTAAATGTGGAATTAAATAAATAAATGTGTCATTCATTAATTAAAACCACGTCACTAACATAAAGTGCCACAATTAGATAAATAAATACAGCGATAAACAATTAATTAAATGTGTAATTCATTAAATAAATAATGAATTAAATATATAAATATGTCATTAATTTAATACAATACGTCTTCATTTTATTAAAAAAATATATATAATTATTTCAGTGTGCATTTAATTATTTCATGGTCCTGTGTCGCAATGCATCAAAACCATTAAAAGAATCTGTCAGACTCACCCATCACAGTTAGGGGGCGGTTATCTAACACCTGATTGGTCACCCTGCACATTAAGGCGATTACAGAGACTGTGATCCACAGGTTGTGGACATACTCTTAGGCCCCGTCCACACGAAGTCAAAACGAACACGAAACGCTGATATTTTCCAAAACGTTTGTCGTAAAGACGGAGATGTAAAATAAATGTGACCGTCCACACGAATGCATGAAAACGCTGCAAAATGTATGCCAGGCCTGTAAGTGGCGCTGTGGTGCCAAAGCAAAAATAAG